TTCTGTTGGGGTTTCTATCAGACTCGATGAATTAATTAAATATAATTATCAAATCCTCCTAATAATTTCTATCTGTGTATATCATTGCTTGAACCGGCTTCTAATGCTCTAGAGTGAGCGGCTTGGTGAGAGTAGTCGTGGCTCCAGGAGGCAATCCTACGGTTACAGAGAACTCAGTAGAGTTCCACCACGGAATATGTGAGCGAGCGGCGCTATGTTAATTTGCAATCTCTTCGTCACCCAGAATTAGAACAGTTGGTATGATGTTTGCTTGACAACTGCCAGTGTTTCAATTCTCGGTAGTGGATGCGCACTGCTGATGAGTCCCAAATATAGGACGAAACGGCCGTCCTGTGCTTTCTGCATTCTGTTGAGGTTTCTATCAGACTCGATGAATTAATTAAATATATATATATATACATATAAATATACATATATATATATTTATATATATATATATATATATATATATATATATATATATATATATATATATATATATATGCGTGTGTACATGTATAAATAAGTTAATAAATCATATATAACTTACTATAAAATATAATTAAATTGTTTTGAGAACCCTTGATGAGATCGTAATTTTTTTATTTCTTTGTGTGTGTATAGTTTGTTAGATCATACGTACACACACACACACACACACACACACACACATATATATATATATATATATATATATATATATATATATATATATATATATATATATATATGACTATTAGTATTCTCCTGGTTATTAGGTCCTAGCATCTTTTATGTATGCACACTTTTCAAAATGTAATGAAACTGGTCCAGAATTAAAGTCTTTTAGTAAATAACAAAGATAAATTAGCATCAAATCAAAAAACAATAAAATATTCGCTTCGTCAAATCTGAGATAATCTGCATAAATGCTCGACTCTGTCTATCGTTAACTGATTGATTTGTTTATTTACGGTTTATCTACCACTTGTTGGTCATTTCAACATTATTTTTGAGAGTGAATATTGCATTAACAAATTTTTCGAATATATATATATATCCATTTTTTTTTTTAGGATAACAATGATTTTTCCAGTAACAAATCCTATTATTTAATCCATGGCCGATAGATTCATGCCTTTCTTAATGTTATTGCACGTAAGTAATGTAACAAACCAGACTAAAATTCAAACTCGTTTCTCTCCTTCTATGTCCAGGGATTGAGATATTGGTATCTACAAATTTGTTCATGTCTAATTTAACGTCAGACATGTTTGTAATTTTTATTGAGTAAATGCCGACGGAATCTTCACGTTCAGATAAGTACAATTATATTTGTGGTTACTGGTTGGCAAAACTCACTTCTAAAAGGAATAATTTTCACCTACTGGGCGTTCTTCAGACAACAAGCCTCGCTCCAAATTTTTGCTAAAAAATACGTATTTCTCTAGTTTGCCATCAATTTAAATCTGTTTTTTAAATTTTAAATTTTCTATCTTATTTCCAATAGATTGTTGGCTAAATCTGCGATACCCTCTAAAATTACAAAAATCTTTTTTTATAGTTTTTTTTTTTTTTTTTCCTGGGAAGAAAGAGAGAGGGATTGATTTTTTTTTCTTTACCGAATATGACCACACATACACACACACACAGACACGCACACACACACACACACACACACAAAATATTACAACGACAAAACATAAATATTTATCTTCTTTTTTTTTTTTTCTTTGCAAAATTGATATAGAAGGGGAAACTCAACAGAATTTGACTGAATCGACAGAACTGGGGAAAAATTGACATAAATCACGATTTACACTTAATCTTTATTCTTTCTATTTTCAGAGTTTGTATTAAATCCTTATTTTGTAGGTGAGTGTATGCATGATTATGTATGTGTATCTATATGTATGTATATGTGTGTATATCAGTGAGCGTGTGTAAATGTTCAAATGCATGTGTATCTGTTTTTCATATTCTTATAAGAAAACATTAATCGTAATTTTCCACATCTACATATATGCGTGCGAATGGGGGAAAGGCATGTTAGTGTGTGTGTCCATGTGTGTGTACGCATATTTGTGTGTGTGTGTGTGTGTGTGTGTCTAAAAGAATATGTAAATAAGCACGAGCGTGTGGATGAGTACGGTGTTCGTCTCTGAGTAAATTTATGCATGTCGACGTATATATATATGTGTGTGTGTGTGTGTGTGTGTGTGTGTGTGCGTGTCTCTAGCTTTACATGCGTATGTATTCGTCTCCATACTTCGTGTGTGCTGCTAATTCAAATGGTGTCCCCCCCCCATATATGACGTCTAAAAAGCGAGAAAGTGTACAAAGCAAACAGTCGAATGAACAAAGCTCAGCAAACCGTAAAATACAACACAATGAATTATCGTCAGCATAGATGAGTAAATATGGCCCGGTCTTGTGGATGAGAATGTTAGTTAAAACACTGTCTCTTCCCCCCGGAGCCAGTGTTCAGAGTTCAAGCCCGGCGTAAAGTTGCAATTTCCAATGCTGATCTTCGAAGCAAGCAGATATTCATCAAGTAAAGGCAATACCCCCCCATTCATTTCCTCTTAGTGTATCATCATCAGCAGCAGCAGCATCATCAGCAGCAGCAGCATCATCATCATCATCAGCATCATCCTCATCATCATCATCAGCTTAATATGTATCATGGCAGAAACTTTTGTTTGTAAAATAGCATTATAGCCATCAAAATAATGAGATTATGTCTGGATCAGCACTTCTAGCTCAGATCAGTGTAGTAACTGTGTGCTATAATTAGAATTAAAATGCCCCTTCTTGACACTTTGCAAATATCAGTATACTACGTGTGCTTTTATACAAAAAAAAACTATAAATCTACATTATATACGTTGCGTTTTATATATGCAAATATATATAAACTAGTTTTATACTTATAAAATGCGTCAACATGTGTAGAAAGCTTAATGTCAATTTGGAAATAAAGAAGATATTTATGACGTAAGTAATAAACGGTCTTTTTCATGCAACATTAGTTTTATTGCTATAAACATTGTATTTAGTGGCTACACGTGTTTCAGTAGGCGTCCCTGTTTTTTTTGGGGGGGTGCGTGGTGGGGGTTGTTTCTTTTCTTTATTCGGTAACAGTAAAATCAATGTCTACCTGTTTAGAGATTGAAAGTTTTACAAATGAAAATGTACCTCCCGACAAAAATCGAACCTCTGTATATGTTTATAACTTACCATGGCTTAATGGTAAAGAACACTTGGCTTGAAAGTGGTTTCCAATATTAAAAACAGTATATAGGTACGAAGGCGCTTTTTTCTTTAGTAAGACTCTTGATCTCTATGCCGATAGGCATTTATTTCACGTCTTGAATGAAAACAGCAATGTTGACTCAAATACTACCACTCACTAAAATATAACGTTTACAGTAAGAAGAAGTAAATATTATAAATAAAGAAGTGTAGCCAATAGTTTTCATTTTTAGAGTTAAAGTACACAAAATATTACGCACTACAATCTGTAGAAATTAAATAACAATTATCTTTAATTACTGAGTTATTTTCTAATAACTGGAATTTACTTGGTTTCGTAATCATAGAAAATGAATTCAGCAAATATAGAAAAATAGAAAGAGGTGTATGATAAGCAGGTTTATTTAACCTATACAGTGAGGTGATTCTGACAGAATTAGAAATCCTATTAATCGTAATATCATAAGATATACAGATGACACTTTGTTGATAACAGACACAAAAAGAAAACTACAAGAATTCCTATAGAAGGTAGTGAAGGAAAACGAAAAGAAAAGACTAAACATCAATTGCCAGAAGACAGAATGCCTGTTTGTTAGCAAAAGGAGGAACCTAACATGCAAATTACAAATTAGAGATACCAAAATCAAACAGCTACAAGAATTTAAATATCTGGGAAGTGTTTTATCAGAGGACTGAAAGTGCGACACTAAAATCCAAAAGTGCATTGGTATAGCCAAAGATGCCTTCCAAAAGCTAAACAAAGAAAATCTCGTTAGAAGCAAAGACAATAGCACTAAACTGTTATATAATATCTGTCCTACTGTATGGCAATGAATGCTGTACAATTTCATCATACACAAAGAAGAAACTTGACGCAACAGAAATGTGGTTCTACAAAAGAATACTGAGAATATCATGGACGGAACATGTGAGAAACGAGGAAGTTTCAGAGAAAAAATGGTCAATTAATATCAGAAAGGAGGCAGTTGAAATTTCTAGTACACGGAATGAGCAAAAGGCCTTAAGAAATTAAACATTCACATGGCATATTGAAGACAAAGGAAAGGAGACAGAGGGAAACAACTCATAAACTCCCTACCAAGCGAGATTAAGTAAACTGATGACAAAACAGGGTTTAAGAGAGATAAGAAAAAGATAAAATTTATTAAGAGATACAAAGAACTGGAAATTGTGGAGAGCCATAATCGGCAACATACTGAAAGGACATGGCACATAGAAGAAGATCACATACGAATAGACTTTCATTTGCAAGAATATTTCTTCGGGAAAACCAATGAAAAAGTGACTTTTCAGAAGAATGTTTGCATTACTTGAAGAGGATTTAAAATAAGCCTGCAAATATTAGCTAAATTTATCTTCTTGGATAGATGATAAAATAATAATAATTAATTTATATTTATCGTAACTAAGCTAAACGTTAATTGAATCAGACGATATGCGCGTACTTTGTTTCTGGTTGGTGACACTTGATGTCCGGCTTAATTCAAATCACTCTTCTAAAGACTTTCCAATGCGTCATTTAGGGCTTTTTTAGGGCTGAAACAGAAATGTTTGGCTGATTCTCAAAAACTTGATCCTTGAGAACAATTCAGATGATTGGGACCGGATGTTCTTTGTTTTTCGATCGTAAATATTGACTGTCATGAGATCACGGGCGTTCGGCCATTTCGTAAAACATTTGAAGGAATACGTAAAAGGTGATTGAAGTGAAAGAGAATGGAATTTAAAAATATGGTAGGGGGTCAAGGAAGAAGAGATGAGAGAAGGTGGAGGGGACTGGCGGTGTGAATGATTGAAATGAGTAGAAGACTTTTTAAAGTTAATGATTCCCAGCAAGTATCGATGAAAAGGAGGGAAAAGGAAATGGTTGAGAATTTGTCACATGAGAGTTGGGTTAGAAAGAAAGAAAGAAAGAAAGAAAGAAAGAAAGAAAGAAAGAAAGAAAGAAAGAAAGAAAGAATGAGAAATAAAGAGACAAAAAAGAATGAATGAATCAGAGGAATAAAGAGAGAAAAAGAAAGAATGAATGAATGAATGAGAGAAAGAAGGAAAGAAAGAAAGAGAAAGAAAGAAAGGATGAATAAATGAGAGAAAAAAGAAAGTAAGAATGAATGAATGAATGAAAGAAATAACGAGTGAATGAAGGAATGAGACGAAGAAACAAAGAAAAAGAAAGAGGGAAAGAAAGAAAGAAAGAAAGAAAGAAAGAAAGAAAATGAAAGAAAGAAAGAAAGAAAGAAAGAAAGAAAGAAAGAAAGAAAGAAAGAAAGAAAGAACAAACAAAACTAACACGATGAGTGGAAGAATAAACAAGTCAAAGAAAGAAACCTGGAAAAAAGATTGAATAAAGGAAGAAACAAGTGAATGAAAGAAAAAAAGGAAAAAACAAAGACTAAGTAAAAGAATAAACAAAACCAAGAAAAAAAGAAATTTAAAAAAAGAAATAGAAAAAAAATATTGCTGATAAATTTAAAAAAGCAATTTACACTTTATTTTTACCCCAAAGAGAGCAACAATAAAAACAAAAAAAAATGTTGCACGCGTGACGTCGTCGAGTAATAATCGTTTGGGATATCATCAAACGAACGCTAAGGAGGGACACACTGTATATAATATAAATGTGTCATGCAGCTTGTGGGGACGTACGTTACGTGTAAAAAGGAAAGACCGTTTATGTGTTTATTCTAAATGTAATTACATACATGTCGTGAACAGGTGTAAGTCTTGATCGATGCTATTATAAAGAAACAAAAACATGGTAAGCAGAAAGACAAAAGTCCCGAAGACACTTTCTACTTTTTAGAGGCAAATCGAAAGTGAAACTGATGGCAAGAAAGGGTGAGAGATAAAAAGAGAGAGGAGCAAGAAAGAGAGAGAGAGAGAGATGATTTAAGCCTGAGTTGCCAAAATTACTTCCTTCAGTTCAAATCTGACAAAGAATGTCAAACAATGTGTCAACAGTGAGAGAGAGAAAAAAAAAAAAAAGAAATTAGCAAAGTGATTTGTGCTGGCTGAAAAAAAATGCTATCATACATGTAAATCTTGCCAACATTAGAAATCAAGTGCTCTTCAAGCGCTGCAATGGGTATGCGGAACTTTTGGGTCTGCTCCAGGGGGATTCAACCCTTACCAATCCCCAATGCTAAATAAGCCGTTTATACGAAGCGAGAAAATTGGCAACTCACTGAAGCTTCATAGAAAGTAAATTGTACGGCCAAAGCTTCTACAGACGACTTATTCACTAGCCTTATCTTGTATACATAGAAATACATAGAATTATATTCATGTATATATGTGTGTACACATACACTATCGCTCTACCACAAAGTTAAAAGAAAGAAAGAAAGAAAGAAAGAAAGAAAGAAAGAAAGAAAGAAATATATATATATACGAAAGGGAGCTGATAAGTCCCAAACATGAAGAATTCCTTGTAAAAATTCTGTCATTTTGTCAAATTTTTGGAAACAAATCGGACCGAGAAATTCAGCACCCGCTCAGATAGATAGATAGATAGATAGATAGATAGATAGATAGATAGATATAAAAATGATAAGCATTAACGAAGGCTACAGGAGTAGTCAAAAATTTTGTAATTTCCAAAATTTTTATTGTGTTCCCACATGAAAAAACAAAAAATATACAAAGATTACTTTTGTCACCATTTTACATAGATAGATAGATAGATAGATAGATAGATAGATAGATAGATATTTATATATGGGGGACTCTCTCGTCGTATTCTACGTATGAGGGTCAAGCAGCTCAGTTCCTAGGAACCGACAGCCCATTCACCAGCACAGATGATTTTATTACAGTGGTGACGGCATTGTGCAGAACCAACCACACTTGAAGGCCAGAATACAGAAACCTGGTGCACTATTTACCACAAGGTCCCCAAACGACCATCCACAGATTTCGAATTCAGAGTTGTCAATCTGCTAGACCAGTTGCCATCCATGGATATAGAACCCAGTCTGTTCTGCTATTTACCCATAGCTGGAGGGAGAAGAAGTGGATTCATACCTTTCCCAAGTGTATTAGCACGTAAGGGAATGTAACGGATTCGACTGAATTCGAACTCGGCTCTCCGATTCCACAATCTGAGCCTCCATTTTTTATATATATATATATATATATATATATATATATATATATATATATATATATATATATATATATATATATATATGATGGAATTATGTACGCATGGCTCAGACTGACTATCTCTTTTGACTATGTCGGAAAAACATCTTTCCTCAGTTGTATCAGTACGTTATTAAAAACGTGTTATATACACACGCTCACACACTCAATATATATATATATATATATATATATATATATATATATATATATATATATATATATATATATACACGTCGATATGCATATATAAGGCGGTGTTAATAGGATGTGGAATAGTATCCGATCAAAAGTGGAGATAATGAGACAAAGTGTAAATGTTTTTTACAGTCAACGCTTTTCGTCTCCGTGTGCAAATTAAGAATCTTTAGGTCGGAATGAAAAAGAAAACTGTGTGTCAGGAAAGTGTGCTGTAATTTTAAGAGAAAAGAGTAATAAATTACCTTAGCAGATCCAAAGACCAAAAAGTGCATTTTCTTTGTATTGAAGCCGTTTAACGTCTGTTGAATGTACAATTAGATTACTCAAACTTCGTAGAAAGCATTATGCATCTTTTGTTTTTGCGATGATTATGAATATTGTGTATAAGCCAAGTCTAAAGAGTTTCGTGGAAAATTCAAAGATCAGTTCGCTTCCAATACATTTTCTTATTAGTGATTTCTTTTCTCTTCTTATCAGACTAACATTCATAGAGTCATTTTTGTGATTTGTATCGGCGAAACATCTGGAGCTAATAGAGAAAAAAACTAGGATAATTTCACTTCAATACGACAAAAAAGCACTTTCTCGTTGATGCATCTGATAAAGTAATTTATTACACATTTCCTCAAAAAGTAAAACGCACTTTTTTTACACACAAGTTTGTCTTTCATTCCGTCCTGAAAACGTCTACCGAGCACACGAAGGCGAAACGCTTTGTTTGTAAAAAGCTTTTTCTACTTTGTTTGACTCTCTCTCTCTCTCTCTCTCTCTCTCTCTCTCTCTCTCTCTCTCTCTCTCTCTCTCTCAAGTGCTCAATATCAGAGAGAGGGCGTATGTAAATATAAATATAAAAGTGAACATTGAAGTCAACACTCAGAGGCGAGAGATGGTTATTTTGGCGGGAGTGGTTTGTTCATTTACTTTATTTATTTATTTATTTGGATTGATTATTTTTACTTGTTTTTGCTTGTGTTCCCTATGCCAAAAATTATTTTTATTTTTATTTATTCTTTTCAGTCTATTCTAACGGTTGCTATGGCGGGAGTGATTTGTTGAACGAAAAAATAATTATAATTACCTTCCCAAACCAAAACAAACTACTAAATAAACAATCAGAAATGATCTAAAAAAATTGTTACTACGTTACTAAAAAAATGAAAATCAAAGAGAATAAATAAAAATATATAAAATAAAAATAAATAAAAAACAATTAAAATAAATAAATCCAAATAGATAAATTAACAAATCACTCCCGCTAAAATAACCGTTAGAATAGATTACTCACAATGCACCACTGACCCGTATATATATAGTCAAGAATAAACCCAACACATGTGGCCTAATGATTGCGTTTAGCATGAAACAGTCTGTCGCCTCTGAGTGTTGACTTCAATTTTCACTTTTATATATATATATATATATATATATATATATATATATATATATATTTTCTGTATTTGAGCAGCTATCCCCTTTTAATATGTTTCATTGTACAACACTGACAAAGTAATTTTGTTTTTTGTATACGAAAAAGCGACTTGTCTTCGTGACTAAACGAATGCAAAAATTGCCCAGATGTTTTTGAACACCTAATAACTAAGAAAACTATTAATTGATAAATAATGCAATTCTTTAGGCCATGAGAAAGCTAGTATATATATATATATATATATATATATATATATATATATATATATATATATATCTGTGTGTGTGTGTGTGTGTGATCAGCTTATAAATAATCCTGTCTTTTATAGCTACAGTGTATATTATATATTTAAAATTCATATGTGAAAACCTAATATTTGACAAAAAATATTTTCACGCCATATATATATATGCTAGTTTATATATATATATATATATATATATATATATATATATATATAAACTAGCATTTATATATATACACACACACACACACACACACACACACACATATATATATATATATATATATATATAAAGTCATTTAAACAGAAACACATTTTTCCTTTACAAATTTCAATGAAACTTTCTCAATATTAAATACCTGTATATATTTGGAAACATTCTATAAGCGTATAATTCGACATATACAAATATAGATACGTATGTATTTATTCAAATAACTAAATCTGTTGTGTATTTAGAGACGCGTGTGTTCCCTATGCCAAAAATTATTCTTATGTGTTTATATGTCAATGAATTCATGTTGCTATCTGTTCTGTTTTTGTTTATTTGTTGTTTTTTCAAGCGAATACACAAGAAATATTTCCTTATTCGAGAATATAAAATGCGTATGTTTTATGGATGAATGAAATGTGGATATATAATTTTGCTGTTTGTATTACTGCATTTATGCATTTGAATTTACATTGGATTTTGGTGAAATCTTCGGCGGCGTCAAAATGGCGTTCGTCGCTTTCGTTCATACAGCGCTGCTGCCACCTAGTGCCAGACGCTTGAAAACAAGCGAATAAAAACAGACGATCAAATTGATAGATGGAAACAAAAGAAGGAGTCTGATTGTTCTGCATTCAAACATTCAACCTTTTCGTGCTGAATTCAGCCATCCAAGCAAACGTTTTAATTAAGCCAAGAAGAAAAGAATTTATTTTGGTGATTTTTTTCTTCTTCTTATCGAGGAGGGAGAGTCGAAAAAAATTAGCAAAAATACAGATGACTTAAGTGGCATAATTTAGAGAAAATACAGCTAATTTAAATCGCCCAATTCAGTCAAAAAATAGAAATAAAAGAAAAAATCGAAGCATTGCCTCAGAATTAATAATAATAATAATAATAATAATAATAATAAAGTCCCGTTCTTTTTTTTTTCTCCAAAATTAGTCATCTCTATAGTGTCGGGTGGATTTTAATAGATCCTATTAGGACGAGTGAAGCAGACCTGAAAATCGAGGGAGGTAATTCGGTTAATGAACTGCTCTTTCATAATTAGTGCCCAATGAAGGGAAAACAAGTGAGTTTTGTAAGCAGGCAATTTAAGTGAAGCAGCCAACTTGACAATTCAAGGGGAGGTAACTGGTAGGAGCTGAAAGAAGCTCGTTCCTCATACCAACCCATTTTTAGATAATTTTTACCTACTTATTTTCTTCATTTTTATTAACAATTGTCAGGTTAGCTAACCAATAAAGAATTGTTGATTCTAGTTGATTGAATCATTATATCGACTACTGTATAGGCCATCATGTCTTCTTTTGGCGGAGGCCAAATCGATCAGCAGGGTTGAAAAAAGAATGCGCCGAGGCGGGCTAATGAATGAAAAGATGTCGAAATTTGTATGCAAGAGAATAAAATTCGAAATTTGAAAATATTTCATTTTCCGCACGATCCCTTTCCGATTCCACCCACACACCTCCGTCAGCGTGACACAATAAATAAATAAATATCTTCATATAGGGATTATTGTCTATTTAGACCTGAATTGTCTATTCTTTTTTATTTGTTTTTTTCTATATTTTTCTCTTGTGTTCATCATTTTTCTTTTTGCCTTTCTTCGTTTCGTTCCTGTTTTGTATCTCGTTTTCTATTTTACATTCACATCTGTTCTTCAACTTGTAAATGTTTCCTTTTTGCGTTGTTTCAATTGTCTCCTTCCTGATTTCATAGATGTTTTTTTCTTTTTATTCCATTTTACTTTACTCATCTCTTTTCTGCATGTTTAATTTTTTTTCTTCGTTTTCTTTTTTCCTTTTTTATTCTTTCCTTTTCTTTTATCACCTTTCCTTCTTTTTCTTTTAAATTTTTCTTTTTCTTGTTTTCATTTTGTATCCCTTTTCTTCATTTTCTTGTCATTGTCCTCCATGACTTCTTACTTTTTCTTCTTTTCTATTTTTTCTTCTTCGTTTTCTTCTTTTTTCTTCTTCGTTTTCTTTCAATTTTCAACAAACTTTCTCGTTTCAGATATTTAATTCTATTTTTCTTTTTCGTTTTATTTCTTCTCTTTTGGTTTCGTTCTCTAGCCATTCTTTCTCTCTTCCTCTCTTTATCTTTCTTCCTTTCTATTCCCTTTTACTCTCTGTATCCTTGTTCTTTTCTATTTTCTCTCGTTCTCTATATCTTTAATCTTTCTATACTCTTCCCCCTCCTCTCTCTCTTCCTTCGCTTTATTTCTCTCTTCTTTCTGTTGACGCTTTTATTCCTCAAACTCATTCTTTATTCAATTTCTTTTTTCATTCGACATTTTTATTTTTGTTCTTTCCTTTTCGTGTTCAATTCTTTGTTTTAAAAATGTTTTTTACTTCCAGCTTTTACCCAGTTCTTCATCCTGGTCTCTCTCTCTCTCTCTCTCTCTCTCTCTCTCTCTCTCTCTCTCTCTCTCTCTCTCTCTCTCTCTCTCTCTATCTATCTATCTCACTCACTCACTCACTCACACACACACACACACACACATTTTTCTCTCCTCATTTTTCTCCATTACAATTCAATACTCATTCACTCTTTCAACCAGTGTGCTACTTACTCTTTCTCTCTCTCTCTTTCTCTCCTTTCTCTCTTTTCTCTTACATCTTATTTTTCTCTTTTGAATTCCCATATCTTTCATTTCCTCTCTCTTCAATCTAATCCTTCATATCACATTCAGAAGATCATTCCTCCTCTAGCCAATTCCGCAAAAAAAATATCTTTTCTTTTTCTCTTTTCCTTTCACAACCTTCGTTTTCGCTGCCCACCTTTTCTTTCAGGTCCTTGGAATTTTCATTAAAAGACACCCTTTTTCCATTTATCTCTCCCGTATTTTATTCACGTTCTTCCTTTGTCTGTCGCTATTCAACAGAACAAAAAAATCCTTACTTTCTTGACTTGGATCTTGGCCACCTCAGCTTTTTATTTATTTATTTTCATTATTCTTTAACATCCAGCAACGATTTGATTTTGTTTCGTTACTTTTTTCTTTCATTCATCTTGGCTTTGCATTTTTCTCTCCATTTTAAATATTTAAATTATTTTTCGTTGTTGTTGTAGCTTCTCTGAAAATTCTTTATTCTCTCTGACATATTCTCTTTCTTTGACTTTTTTCTTTTCTTCTTCCTTTTTATCTGTTTCTTTCTTTCGTTTTATTTTCTTTCTCGATTTTTTCATTTACATTTTCTTTCGATTCTTCGCTGTATTCACCTTCTCACGCCCGTTCGCTCTCTATTTCCATCTCATAGTTTTTTTTTTATCTTTCTCTTTCCCTTTTTCGATCATTTTTCTCTCTCTCTCTCTCTCTTTCTCCTCTTTCTCTTTCCTTCTATTCCCTCCTCTCTCTCTATCTCTCTCTCTCCCTTTCTCTCTCCTCCTCCTATTGCTGTATTATTTCTCGTTTTAAGGACCTATAATCTTCTTATCAATATGAGTCTAGTAAGTTGACATATCGCTTCATTCATTTCTTTTTTAATCTTTCTTTTTCTCTATGTGTGCGTGCGTGTGTGCAATATTTCTTTTCTATTTCGTTATTTTTACTTTCTTCATTCACTCCTTCCTCCTCCTTTTCTCTTCTTTCAAATGACATTTCCTCTTTCTCAATCTCCTCGTTGTGTTCAAAGTTCTTGCCATCACAATGTTTTAATCAAACGCTTTGCCTTTTCTCTCTCTCTCTCTCTCTCTCTCTCTCTATCTATCTATCTCTCTTTCCCACACCCTCTCTCTCTCTCACTTTCCCTCTTTCTCTCTTATATCTCTTTTACTGATACACTCGCATCTCATTTTACATTTAATCTATTTCTTATTTCCTTTTCTTTTTCTCTCTCTTTCTTTCTCTCCCTTACCCTCTCTTTCTTTATTCTGAATCGCTCCATGTGGTTCATTACGCTTAGATACCTGGTCAAATATTTTAAAGTGGTGTAGGGAGATTGTTACGCTCAAGTGAACATGGTTTGCCAGATTAGAAAATCCGCATTCGTTTTAATCTAGACACGAACACCAATCACGATTTCATCCTGGACATAGACTTATTATTTATTACTTTACGCAGCTTAGCTTAGTTTTACACAGCTATGGCAGTTTAGCATTCAGTGAGGATCGAACACCAGTTTTCAAGACAATTTTCCTAACCATCGATCTACAAGAAGCGCTCACGGCCTCACCCTTTTATCTGACATTTTTCTTCACTTCTCTTTATATCCAGTTTCTTTTCTCTATCCAATTCTCTTTCTCGCTTCTAAAGTACAAAGATTCCCCCTGAAGTAGCGACAGACATGTTCCTTCTCTTAGCCATCTTTTCATTTCCGTTTTGAATGGAATTTCATTTTCTAAATTTATTTTCCATTTTCCAGCAGTAACATCGGCAACGTTGTTCAGTTTTCTTCCACTAAACAAAAACCGAAAATTTATCCTTTACGATATTTTTCTATGCATTTGATTTGTTATTGTGTCCATATCCTAGCCTGACCGAGTAACCTGTGTGTGCCTATTAGTTAAAATCCTTAGTTAGCATCCATGAGAAAAATAATCGATCTCTTTGAGATAACAAATGTCATGTTCAGTACCACAAAGCCACAGAACTCTGCTAAACGAACTTCCTTTTCTCTACGAACAATTAAATCATTCAGATGCTTTTAAAATCTATACAAAATCCAAATAGTGACACCTCATTTTTTTCTGTTAACGCTTGTCGTAATCATTATTTTTAAATTTAATCTATGATATTCTAAGACTTAAATATAAATGGCTAACGATTATATGGATACGACTTAAGAGAAAGGGAATTTATACGTGTATCAAATTTATAACATTATTAGAACACTATTATTATATATTATAATTATATTATTATAACATTATCAGGACATCAACGATATTCGTTCATGTAACTTTTTTCGTTGGACTCTTACAGGCAATATTATACTCTAGCTGAAGATATACTAACCATAAAATATCTTTCTTTGAGAACTTGTAGGGACATTATCATTATTATGAATAAATAAAAATAAGATATAAAATAATAATAATCATAAAAATTATGAATAAAATAAAATAAAACAATAACATAAAAACTTTGTATAAAATAAATTAAATAAAAATTAAGAAATAATGAAAAATACTCCCAGCATGCAACAAAAACTGTTCCTATCGGAAATACGGACATCCCTTCAAAAGACGTTAAATTCAACCTCGTCGCCACGAACCTTCGTACTGGCAACACTCTCTCTGTGACATAGCGTGTAATAATACGGAGTGACTTCTCCTTTTTATCACATTTACCATGAAACATTTGTAATCTAAAAAATGCACACAAAAACATATCAATAAATCGTATGAAATTAACATGCCTTCACTGTTATTAATTCATTATAAATTTTAAATCAAAGTCTGTTTTTTTTTTTTATTTAATTTTTGGCACTCTTTTGAAATTATAAATTTTAAATTAAAATTTGTTTAGCTTGACTCGCAATAATTCCAACCCTCAGAATGAAAAATTAACAAAAATCAAGGAGTTATTCACATTTCGTAAGTGCGGCTGATATTCGAGAGATTACAAAGAAATTTTACAATTTATAAACAAAAAAAATCTGGTTTTGGCTTTTTTTTATCGGGTTGAGTGCCAACGTATAACCCACACTAAGAAATAGCGAACCCGAGTCGCCCTCATTTGGGACGATCGCAAAGGTCAAGTCAACCGGAGTGCCATAGAGGACCTTCGCTCTGGGAGAATTTGATGTGAATTTTAGTAATTATAAATTCTTTTTTATGGCGGGGGGTGAATTAATAGAAAGGGTTTTAGCATACTTTGTTAACTTTCCTACCAATAGATGCTTTTGCATCTTACGTGACGAAATTAACGATCATAGAATGAGAATCTAAAAGTTGTTATAAAGCGTTAAATAAGAATGATTAGTCAAAAGATTTTTTTTTAATCAGGCTATGTTGAGGAACATGGGAAACCGTTTATTCAAACAAAATTATGAAATCAAGTATAGCAGAACAAGTATGTAAACAAATCAGGCACACCGCACTCATCTGAAAAGAAGGAAAATAACAGAGACCAAAAATAACGTAAAGGGAAAGAAGCGGCATATCGAATGCTGTCAACAAAATAATCTGGTATTGAACCACATAAAAACATGGGCAGAGAGAAATTAGATTTAACAGTTAAAACCTCCCATATCCAGGATCAGGGTAACATTTTGAGCCGAAGTAGAAACATCTGAAAAGTACTGTATGCAACATACACACCTGACGAAAACTCAAAATATATCAGCCGTTATGCTGTGCTATATTACAAAGATGAATATATTTCTCCGAATATATAGAGAGACTTTTAAAGATGATTGTTAAAAATATATAGAATTATGAAAAGAATTCATCCTAGTTTTTCGAACAAAACGCAACAAAAATAGTCACAAGACAGTCTAAAGTAACCATGACCATTTGTCGGAAATAAAATAAACATGAATCTTCGCTAAAATAAAGTTACCTGGACGCTGTGCCAGACAAAATTCACCATGATCTTGTAAGAGATTAAAATAGCCATGGCCTTGTAACAAACTAAAATTGCCAATAATCTGTACCAGATTAAGTTATGCATTATCCTGCGCCAGATATAAACAGCCATGACCCTGTGCTAGGCTAAAAAATCGCCATGAACCTGTGTCAGACAAAATTAGCCACGATTTTATACCAGACTAGCAGCATGGCCCGGCGTTGCCCGTACTTGATTCAAAAATCGTACGACTCATACAGCAATCGCTATCACTTGATATTAATATTTTGGCCCTTCCTTGCCTTTAAAGGAGTACCCTTTGCCGTGCTGTTGTTGCTACATGCCTTACTTCTTGCCTATCTCACACTGCGAATTTTTTCTAAGCTCTATACTAAACATTAAATCTGTTACGAAAAAAGAACTAAACAAAATGAACACAAAACGATCAGCTTTAAAAAAGGACTCGTAACTGGAAAAAACGAATGAAAAAAGAATGCTAACAACAAATACTTTTTCACACCCAACCAAGTTCTGCGGAATCAGAATCAACGTTGAGTTTAAGCAAGCTAATAAGCCAACTGGAGTAAAGTTCCATGCAGATTTAAATTTTTCCCACTTGTGACGAATGCAGCTATCGATTTTTTTTTTTTTTTTTTTGCATGCTAGCATGCTAGTTAACATTAGTGTCAGTCAGCTGGCCTTCACGCTGGCCAATAGAATCTTCCTGCCTATTCGTGACAGCCAGCTATTGGCTCTCACTCTGGCCAGTATAAAATGGTCGCAAACTACATGAAAACTGCCGTAGAAGCATGAAAAAATCGATTATTTCCACTATCGATGGGAGTTGGGAAATACAAATTCGGTCTTCGCTAACTTGGAGCAGGTGCATGTAAATTTTGGTGCAAATCCGTCGAAAATTGCGGCCGTGCATTCGTTACACACACACACACACACACATCCTGCCTTTTATAGATAGAGATTAAAAGAGCCAAGATCTTGTGCCAGATTAAGTGGCGAATAATCTGTGCCAGAATAAAACAGTTATGACCCTGTACCAAACTAAGCAGAGATTCAAAAAAGAATGACAACATTCATGGAAGAACTGGGCAAGTTATCCGAAATTAAATCTCAGAGAGGAGAAAAAAAATCCGTGTTTTTACACTTGTTTCACCTGATTGTTTTCTCACGTTCTTTTCTCCCATACTTTTTCTTTTTTTAAAAAAGAAAATTTTCCACAAACATGCAAACACTGTCAAGATGAGCACCGCAGGAAAAATTCGGGCAATAAAATAAATTGGAAAATCAGAAAATAGATCATAATTATCTATTAAATTATAGCACGTATTGAACTCCATAGTTGCTACATCATTGTCGCTACGGTGGAGTAATGGATAGCGGCTCGGATTGAGGAATGGGAGATCCGAGTTCGAATTCCAGTCAAATCCAATTAAATTCACTTACGTGCTAATACCCTTGGGAAAGGTATGAATCCTCTTCTTCTCCCAACCTCAGATATGGGTAGATAACAGGACAGACCGGGTTTTATAGCCTTGGATAGCAACTAGTCTACCGCAGAAAGAAATGGCAACCTACTGCGGGGAAAAATTAGTCATATATCGAAAGATACATGATCGCCTAAGTGTGTATCACGCATGGCACATAACTGACTGACTATCAGTAAATCACCGTATTATGGATATTTTACACTCTTCTGCTGTTAATAAAAGATTTCTAACGCAATGAAAAAAAATATATTTTTTAACAGTAGGGGAGGGTAAACTGTCCATGACACGGTGATTGCACTCCTTACCAGAACGAAAGCCAAGTTGGGTTCCCGTTTTGGTAAGGAGTGTAATGATAGCATATCTGTTATCAAAGAAGACAGTTCTTCATCAAATCCTATAAACTGGGGCTATGGAATCACAAATAACTAACAAGAATCATACCACTTGAATACTACTTCCAAGAGCAACAACCAGTGCCGATGTGTACTATTTTCAAACCCTCCGACCGGGAAACGTTTCCAAGCCTGATTGGAACGCAGGCAGTGTTTTGTGGGATAGATCTATAAATAGTGATCTGATTAATACAATAAGCTCAGACATATGAAAGGTTTCTCAATGTTTAAAACAATGGCCCTCTATGTAGATCTGAGAATCCGTCATCAGCAATAGACAAAACTATTGATTAAAAAGAAACATGTCTGATTTCAAACCAAGGCAACATGCCCATTTTCTCTTGCGATCAGTCATATATCATAATATAAGC